TGGCTAGGCGGGGCTAATAACTGCTAAGATAAAAGTGATTTTGGCAAATGACATATCTTACAAGGAAATAGAGGGTGGGTGGGTGGGGCTAGTATCTGCTAAGGTAAGACTGATTTTAGCAGATGACGTATCCTCTAAGAAATTTAATTAAATTATTATAACAAAAGACACTAGAAGCTTCAAAGCACTTTCAAATTCTTTCCAAACAGGAATACGTAGAAAACGGGGTCCCAAAATGAACTCAAAATCAGATCAGGTCAAAATTTTCCAAAAATAAAAGACCAAAGTAGAGAGCAAAAGAACCAATTTTAAAATTATTATAACTCCACCAAAATGTGAGAAGGATTTTTTTTACTGTTTTCTCAGACTTTCAGTTGATTGTTAAAAGCGTAGCGAAGAGTTAATTCACCATTTTCCAGACACCCGGTATATAGTGAAACGTCTAAATTTTGTGCCGTTTGTACAAAATAGCCGAAGTAATAAAACATCCACACAGGTGGTTACAAAAGGACCTATAAATATGAACGACCAAACTTTAATAATAAATCATTAGGTACCTATTACCACATTTCTGGTTCTTAAAGTTCATGATCCATACTTAATGAAATCTTGTAAATTTACAGGGTTGCTCAAAAGTACGAAAGCAGTTGATTATCTGAGGAACGGTTAGTTAGATTTTCAATATTTAAAAAATTATCCGGAAATTTGTGTCATAATTATCAAAACTAAATTTTTTATCTCGCTCCACTTGTATAAAGTGAATCAAAAGTTACATCTCAAGATGTGCAGACGTTTTGTTTACACCGTTGCCATGGAAACCGTGCGTCCACTCGCGATATTGCACTGGAGTAGGGTCCAGTTCCGACAGTGTCCAGGAGCAGTAACTCAATTAATTTATTCGGGTTTTAATTTGTATTAACTATTTACAATCATTAAATAGGAGTATTGCTGTTTCTAGAATATTTGGTAAATTACTTGGAAACAGCATTTAAGTGGGATTTATAAACTTGATGTTTTAATTTTTTTGTTGTCGAAATAAGTCTACAAATACTAATGAAAAAAGCCAAAATGTAGCCCCGCCCTCCCGCCCTATCTCAACTGTGATGATTTTCTTTTATTCGTCGTGAATCAAGGAGGCGGAGCTTAACTGCAAAATCCTTATTTCTCTACGAGAAATTAAAAACATGTTTTTGAGTATCACGTTCGTCAAAGAATACTATGTATATTAAGAAAAAAATAAAGCGAAAGATTAGGCCCCGTCCATACCTGCCCCTGTCTCAATTTTCAATTGCGATGAATTTGTCATTAGTTGTCAGATCGAGGGGCGGGGCTTAATTGCAAGATCCATATTTGTCTACAAGAATTTAACATGTTTTAAGTTTCTTGTTCTGAAAAGACGACTACGTTTATTAAGAAAAAAGGCAAAATATAAGCCCCGCCCACCCGCCCTATCTCAATTGTGATGATTTTTTTTTTAATCGTCCAGAGCCAAAGGAGCGGAATTTAATAGCAAAATCCGTATTATTTCTCTACAAGAAATTAACATTAAGACATGTTTTTGAATATTGTGTTATTCAAAAAATACTTTCTACATTAAGAAAAAAATTAAATCCACGTATTAAGCCCCACCCATATCTGCCGTGATATAAATAGTACTGAATTTTCATTCGTTGGCAGACCTAGGGGCGGAGCCTAATTGCAAAATCCATATTTCCTTAACAAAAATTTACCATTTTAAACGCGTCTTAAGTTTCTAAGAATATAAAAATCGTCACAATTGAGACGGGGTGGGTGGGCGGGGTTTATATTTTGCTTGTTTTCTTAATATACATAATATTCTTTGAACAACACGATACTCAAAAGCATGTTTTACATAATAATTTCTCGTAGAGAAATAAGGATTTTAAGCTCCACCCTCTTGACTCACGATGAATAAAGAAAGTCATCACAATTGAGATGGGGTGGGTGGGCGGGGCTTATATTTAGCCTTTTTTTTTCTTAACATTCGTAGTGGTTTTTTCGCAACAAGAAACTTAAAATGTGTTTAAAACAGGAAATATTACGGATTTTGTAATGACGCTCCGCCCCTCAGTCTGACAAAGAATGGAAAATTCATCACGATTGAGATCCAGACGGATGGGTAGAGCTTATCTTTTGTTTTTTTATTTGTTTTTTTTTTCCTTAAAACATATAGTTTTCTCCGAGCAACACCATCACTGAAAAACATGTTTCACATGGTAATTCTTATAGGAAAATACGGATTTTGCAATTAAGCTCCGCCCCCCGTTGACTAACGACGAACAAAGGAAAAGCGTGCCAATTGAGATAGGGTGGGTGGGTGGGGCTTATGTTTTGCTCTTTTTTTTCTTAATATATATTGTTTTTTCTCCATAACCAAAAACTGAAAACATGTTTAAAATGGTAATTGCAAAATCGATATTTCCCTATACCAATTTACCATTTTAAACATGTTTTAAGTTTCTTGTTGTGAAAAGAAGTCTATATGTACATATTAAAACAAAAAGGCAAAATATAAGCCCCGCCCACCCGCCCTGTCTCAATTGTGATGATTTTTTTTAATCGGCGAGAGCCAAAGGAGACAAATTTAATTGCAAAATCGTTATTATTTCTCCACAAGAAATTACCATGCAAGACATGTTTTTGAGTATCGTGTTATTCAAAGAATACTATGTACATTAAGAAAAAAAAAGCCATAAACTAACCCCCACCTATACCTGCCCTGATCTAAATAGTATTGAAGTTTTCATTCGTCGGCTGACCTAGGGGCGGAGCCTAATTGAAAAATCCATATTTCGTTCCAAAAATTTACCATTTTAAACGCGTCTTAAGTTTCTAAGAATATAAAAATCATCACAATTGAGACGGGGTGGGTGGGCGGGGTTTATATTATGCTTGTTTTCTTAATATACATAATATTCTTTGAACAACACGATACTCAAAAACATGTTTTACATAATAATTTCTCGTAGAGAAATAAGGATTTTAAGCTCCACCCTCTTGACTCACGATGAATAAAGAAAGTCATCACAATTGAGATGGGGTGGGTGGGCGGGGCTTATATTTTGCCTTTTTTTCTTAATATTCGTAGTGGTTTTTTCGCAACAAGAAACTTAAAACATGTATAAAACAGGAAATATTACGGATTTTATAATTACGCTCCGCCCCTCTGTCTGACAATGAATGGAAAATTCATCACGATTGAGATCCAGACGGATGGGTGGGGCTTATCTTTTGTTTTTTTGTTTGTTTTTTTTTTACTTAATAGATATAGTTTTCTTCGAGCAACACAATCACTGAAAAACATGTTTCACATGGTAATTCTTGTAGAAAAATACGGATTTTGCAATTAAGCTCCGCCCCGCTTGACTAACGACGAACAAAGAAAAAGCGTCCCAATTGAGATAGGATAGGTGGGTGGGGCTTATGTTTTGCTTTTTTTTTTCTTCTTAATATATATTGTTTTTTCTCCATAACAAGAAACTGAAAACATGTTGAAAATGGTAATTGCAAAATCGATTTTTCCTTATACAAATTTACCATTTTAAACATGTTTTAAGTTTGTGTTGTGAAAGGAAGTCTATACATATTAAAACAAAAAGGCAAAATGTAAGCCCGCCCACCCGCCCTACCTCAATTGTGATGACTTTTTTATTCACCGTGAACCAAAAGGGCGAAACTTAACTGCAAAATACTTATTTCTTTGCAAGAAATTAAAAACATGTTTTTGAGTATCGGGTTGTTCAAAGAATACTATGTATATTAAGAAAAGAATAAAAAATATCTTAATTCTGATGATTTTTTTATTCGTCGTAAGCCGAGGGGCGGAGCTTAATTGTAAGATACTTATTTTTCTACGAGAAATTACCTTGTGAAATATGTTCTTAAGTAATCGTGTTATACAAAGAAAACTAAATGTATTAATTAAAAAATAAAACAAAAGAAAAGCCCCACCCACCGGCCCTATCTCAATTGTGATGATTTTTTTATTCGTCGTGAGCCAAGGGGGCGGAGCTTAGTTGCAATAAATCAATCTGCTACGCTGACACCTTTATTTCAGTTTATGTATACTCAGTTCTCTCATTTTTAATTTTATGATTGGGCACTAATATAATTTTTGAATAGTGCAAAATGAAATGTAAAATTGGAGAAAATAGTATGAAACATATAGAATGAGTACTCTTAGGGACAGTCCAAATTTGAAAAAGATTCAGCAAACCGTTCTCGCGATATTCAACTGCTTCCACACTTTTTAGCGACCCTGTATATGAGAAGTTAAATAAAGTAGTAAAGAGAAACAAATCTGAAGAAAATTTGACCATTTTAAAAAGTATATCGATATTTTTTTAAAATCAATCTCAGTCTTGGACTTCAAAAGAAAATTTTCAGTGCACGTCACTGGTGAATACACAAAAAATTTAATACACATAAAATTAATTGATAGCACGATAATCAGAACCACCAATGTTTGTTTTTCGTCTCTTGGCAAATATCAAACATCGTTAGGATTGTAAAGATTAAACCGATAAAAGATTGTGAAAGACCTGAGGGAAATAGTGCTAGTCGTTACAAGATTTTTGTTTCACATATTACTAAAAGTTAGGCTTTTATTTTGAGCCAACTTTCCTCTGAATTAATGCTTGATTTGAATTTTAGTTCCGGATTCGTCGAAGTTTTGGCTACAGTTGCCGCTCCCACGCAGTTTTGAGTTTTTCGAGAATCTGTATTTCGTACTTTTTCGTTTTGGTTGGGAAACTGAAGCATAATTATGTCACCATGTAGGTATCGTAAACTAGCATTTTAGTAGTTAGTCCTGCTCACCATCTATTCAAACACTAGCTGAAATCTCTCAAACAACCACTAGGAATCTAATAAGTCCCGCTACAAAAACAAAACCATACTCGTAGACAACAATGGGTAGTCAGAAAAGCACAAAACCGCTGCTCGTTATTCAAAGTACTCATTACTGCGCCGAATTCCAGGCCGGCCGACATACCGGAAATCCTTTGGTTCGAAGAAGAGACCGAACTGATCCGGAGTTGCGCCGCCTTGTCCTCCGCCGTCGGGCTCCAGAAGAGCTTCAGTACCAGCGACATCAGTCAATTACCCTCACCCGAAGACAGCTCGAACGTCCCCGGCCTTCGCAGCGCCGTCTCGGAGCTGGCGCTCAACTCCTTGCAGAGATCAGGCTTCATCTTAGAGAATGCCCGACTAGACCACACCTCCAGATCTTGCTCCACGTGGGTGGCGGTGGGAGACATAGCCTCGACCTCCCAGCTGCCGTCCCCGCACGGCGGCCAGACGTCCAGCACCGCGCAGCAGCAAGCCGGGACGCCGCCGCCGCCGCCAGTCTTCACCGCCGCCGACTTCATTCGTTCCGTCAACAAGAAAGTAAGAACTTGTGTCAAAGTCGAATTTGAGGTTGCGATGGGTTTGTTTGCAGGTGCGCCAGAACTACATCAGACGAAGACTCCTCACGACCTACAAGGCCCTCGAGCGACTCTCTCAGAGCGAATTTAACTTAGATAGGCTGGAGGTGGCGCCTGCTGCCGCCACCGCTAGCGTCGTTAACACGGAGACCTCCACTCAAAACGCCGGCCCAGTTCGCCTCACGGTGCCTGGATCGAGTCCCTCGGCCAAGGCGAATCCGCCGCCCCCGAACAGTACCAATGCTGCGGTTCTCCGTGCTGCCAAACAAAGAGCCAGCAAAAATCTGCCCCTGACAATACGCGACGTGGAACGAGAACGAGGGAAACCCCTGTCCAAGTACGAGAGGAATATGATGATTTTCAACTGGCTGCATACGCTTGATGACACTGTCTATGTTGAAGGGATTCAATAAGATCTTTGTATTTATGGTGCTCCTATATGTACGGGCATTTTGTTTTCGATTAGCTAATTTATTACTATAATGTGTACAATTAAGCCATTGAGAGGTGTCACTTTTGTGAAATATTACATCATATCAATAAATCCATCTGTTTTTTTGTCTATGGCGCGTCTGTATTTTCTGAAACAAGGGTTGCATTTAAAAACTAGAACTCAGTTTGTCCTGAATTTGTTTAAACACTTCTTAAATAAAAAATATAAAATCTAGGATTGCCAACAGACTCATTTCTGATCACATGGTACATCAAAGAATTAAAAACAAAATCTCTACTACACTTGAAAATTCTGAAAATCGAATACCAAAAAGTCAAAATCCAGAAATTTATGTTGCCAAAATTAAAATATTGCAAAATTGATAAAACGAAAACTTGAAAAATTAAGAAATTTAAAAATCCAAAAGTCGAGTTATTTTAAAAATCGAATAACCGAAATATCAAGACATGGAAACATAAAAAAATTTGTAAAATTGAAAAATCCAACAATATAAAATGTAAAAAATCCAGAAATTGAAAAATCGAAAGACTTTTGGGAGTTTTAATCTCTTTTTTGATAAATGTGAAAAAAATTCAAAAATTCTATAGTGGTGTTTTATTTTTGAAAGAATTAAAAATAATTTTGGGGGGCCTAATGTTTGAAATTTGAAAGATTTTATAAAACTCTTAGGGGTCTTTGGCCCCTTTTTTTTGAAGAATGTGAAAAAATTCGACAAAACCGAAAAGTTGATAAAAAACTGAAACGTAGAATTGCTAATCGAAAAATTGAAGACATGAAAAACTGCAAAATTTAAAAATTGAAACATACAAAAGTTGGAAAATCGAAAAACTGAAAAATTTGAAAATGAAAACTTGCTGTCGTAAAACTGAAGAAACCAAAAAGAGTGAACAATTGCAAATCGAAAAATTGTAAATCAAAACTGAAGAACCGAAAATTTGGAAAGTCGAATGAATTAAAAAGTGTTAAAATCCAATAATTAAAAAATGGGAAAATTCTAAAATCGCAAAATTGAAAAGTGATTTTTTTTTAAATTACGAATTATCGTAATTACATATTTAAAATAAAAACTACATGCATTGAAGAAACGAAAAATTGAAAAATCACGAAACTGAAAAATCAAAAATTAAAAAATTTTACACTGAAAAAAGATAAATTTGTAACATTGAAAAGCCGAAAATTTAAAAAAAAAAAAACAAGAAAATAAAAAACCGAAAAGACAAATTGAAAACTCCTGAAATTGCAAAATCTAAAAATTGAAACATTCAAAGTTGGAAAAATCCAAAAACCAAAAAATTTAAGAGCGAAAACTCGAAGAATTTCATATCGTAAAATTGAAGAAACAAAAAAACTGAAATTGAAAAAATATACATATGTATATAAACTGAACATTGAAAAATCGCAAATCGAAAAATTGAAAAAATCAAAATTGAAGGACCGAAACAATGAAAAATTATAATTGAAAAATGTAAAAATTTTGAAATATACAGGATACATTGAAGAAGCGAAAAACTGAAAAAATCATGAAACTGAAAAACCTAAAATTGAAAAAACAAAAATTAAAAAAAATCTGAGGAAATTATAAAAAATAAAAAAAATTAAAAAAGAAAATTAAAAACTCGTCAAACTGCAAACAAGAAATTGCAAAATCTAACAACTGAAACGTCCAAAAGGTGGAAAATCCAAAACCTGAGGTCAACAAATTTTAAATCTAAAAATTGAAGAAACAAGAAAAATGAAAAATAAAAAATCGCCAATCGAAAAGTTGAAGCAATGAACAATTATTGAAAAAATTGCAATTGCAGAAACAAAAAAAAAATCGAAACATTGAAAAGTCGAATAATTGAAAAAATAAAGAAAATAAAAAATCGAAACGAAAAATTGCAAATCGAGTTTATAAAATATCTTAACTGAGATTAAATTAATCACGCATTTAACGAGGCGGTTAGCCACGTCTGATTGGCGTAGAGTCGGTCACGTGGTACTTTAACGCCGTTCTAAAAATGTAGTCGCAATCAAAAATTTAATTAAGCTTTCGTGAACCGGGTCTGAAAGTTGATAACTCCAGAAACTCAAATCGAAAAACCAGGTGTTCTATTTTTTAAAGAACTTTGAACACTCGTGGACCTGGGGTATTTAAAATTTGAAAGAATTTGAAAATCTTTTGGGGGTTCCTAATGTTTTTAAGAATGTGAAAAAAATGTGATTTTTTTTTTAATGTGAAAAATGTCGACAGTTCTTGGTGTTTTATTTTTGAAAGAATTAAAAACATTCTTGGGGCGCCTAATGTTTAAAATTTTCAGGATCTCCTAAAACTCTTGGGGGGGGGGGCTCCGCGTTCTCTTTTTTTTGAAGAATGTGTTAAAAATTTGACAGTTCCTGGTGTTCTATTTTTTAAAGAACTTTAAGCACTTGTGGACCTCGGGTGTTTAAAATTTGAAAGAATTTGATAATATTTGGGGGGTTCGTTGTGTTTCTTTTTAAGAATGTGAAAAAAACTCGGGAGTTCCTGGTGTATAATTTTCGAAACAATTTAAAACACTCTTAGGGCGTCTGATATTTAAAATTTGAAAGAATTTGAAAGGTTCGTGGCGATCAGACGATCTTTAGTTTCTTTTCATTTGAAGAATGTGAACAAATGTCGGAAGTCCCTGGTGTTTTATTTTTGAACGAATTTAAAACACTCTTGCGGAGGCTTGATGTTTAAAATTTGCATTGTGGTATTTTTCGAAGAAGGTGAAAAAATCTCGGGAGTCCCTGGTGTTCTATTATCAAAAGAATTCAAAACACTCTGGGGGTCCCTGATGTTCAAAATGTGAAAAAATTTTGGGAATCCTCGGGATTTTATATTTTAAAGAATTTTTAACACTTTCGTAGACCTCTGGTGTTTAAAATTTGAAAGAATTTGATAATATTTGGGGGGTTCGTTGTGTTTCTTTTTAAGAATGTGAAAAAAACCTCGGGAGCCCTTAGTGTATAATTTTAGGAAGAATTTAAAACACTCTTGGGGGGTCTGATGTTTAAAATTTGAAAGAATTTGAAAGGTTTGTGGCGGTCTTCAGTTTCTTTTCAAAATGTGAGCAAATGTCGGAAGTCCCTGGTGTTTTATTTTTGAAAGAATTTAACACTCTGGGGGCACCTAGTGTTTAAAATTTTACGGATTTTCTAAAACTCTTGGGGGGTTTTCGTTCTCTTTTTTTTAAGACTGTGTTAAAAATTTTACAGTTCCTGGTGTTCTATTTTTTAAAGAATTTTAAACACTTGTGGACCTCGGGTGTTTAAAATTTGAAAGAATTTGATATTCTTTCGGGGGTTCGTGTGTTTCTTTTTAAGAATGTGAAAAAAACCTCGAGGTGTATAATTTTCCAAAGAATTTAAAACACTCTTGGGGCGTCTGATGTTTAAAATTTGAAAGGTTTGTGGCGGTCTTCAGTTTCTTTTCATTTGAAGAATGTGAACAAATGTCGAAAGTCCCTGGTGTTTTATTTTTGAAAGAATTTAAAACACTCTTGTGGGCCCTTGATGTTTAAAATTTGCATTGTGTTATTTTTTGAAGAAGGTGAAAAAACCTCGGGAGTTCCTGGTGTTTTATTTTGAAAAGAAGGTAAAACACTCTGGGGGCCCCTGATGTTGAAAATGTGAAAAAATTTGAAACCCTTCTGAGGGTTTTATTCGCTTGTTTTTTAATGAATGTGAAAAAATGGTGGAAATTCCTGAGATTTTATTTTTAAAGAATTTTTAACACTTTCGTAGACCTCTAGTGTTTAAAATTTGAAAGAATTTGAAAGACTCCTGAGGATCCGTAGCATTCTTTTTTTTTTAATGTGAAAAATATCGACAGTTCTTGGTGTTTTATTTTTGAAAGAATTAAAAACATTCTTGGGGGCCCCTAATTCAGGATCTCTTAAAACTCTTGGGGGGGAGCTCTGCGTTCTCTTTTTATTTTGAAGAATGTGTTAAAAATTTGACAGTTCCTGGTGTTCTATTTTTTAAAGAATTTTAAACACTTGTGGACCTCGAGTGTTTAGAATTTTAAAGAATTTGAAAGGTTCGTGGAGGTCTTTAGTTCTTTTCATTTGAAGAATGTGAATAAATGTCGGAAGTGCCTGGTGTTTTATTTTTGAAAGAATTTAAAACACTCTTGCGGGCGCTTGATGTTTAAAATTTGCAGTGTTATTTTTTGAAGGTGGAAAAATCTCGGGAGTCTCTGGTGTTTTATTTTGAAAAGAATTTAAAACACTCTGGGGGCCTCTGATGTTGAAAACGTGAAAAAATTTGAAACCCTTTTGGGGGTTTCATACTTTTTTTTTAATGAATGTGAAAAAATTTTGGAAATCCCTAGGATTTTATTTTTTAAAGAATTTTTAACACTTTCATCGACCTCTAGTGTTTAAAACTGAAAGGATTTGAAAGACTCTGGAGGGTCCATAGTTATTTTTTTTTTGGAAAATGTGAAAAACACTGATGGTTCTTGTGGACCTCATGTGGAGAAACCTCGGTAATTCCTGATGTATAATTTACAAAAGAATTTAAAACACTTTGCGTTTGATGTCTTAAATTTGAAAGACTCGTGAATGTTAAATAATTAAAATATCGTTAAACAACCAAATCCACCCTCCCCAATAAAAAATAAAACAACCCATCATACAAAACCATTATTTATTATCCGCTAAAATTTACAACAAAATCGACAAACGAGATACAAATTAGTCACAGGTATCACTATTGTAACAGCAACTTGAAAATAATAAAACTTCCGTCCTTCCAATCACGCAACATGCACCAACAACTTCTCCAACTTATTCCAATTAAAGAGGCTCCAATAAGAACAAAATCCGTCTCTTTAATTGGAACATGCATTTACTCGCCAAATGACAGTACAAGAACCTAAAACGGTACCACATTCGGCATGATCACAATTTATGTACTAATGTCTATTAGCTAACTTAATTTTTATCTTCTTTCTTCTCTTTCGTTTCTTCCGTTTGCTCCGAGGAAGCGCTCCCGCTGCTGCCGCTGCTGCTGCTACCTTCACGTTCAGCGGCCATCTTCTTGTACGCCATTTCGAACAATTTGAGTGAAGACTGTTGAAGTGTGCTCGTGACTTTGCGGATTTCTTCGGGGTCAGCGACGTCTTTCTTGGCCAACAATTCCCTGACTTTGCCGATTTCCTCTTTCAGTTTGTCACACTGAAAAAAAAAAAAATTGGTCTAAAGAGTTTAGACAGTACTTCCCCCGCTGTCGGAAACTTGACGACTGCATGCCTATTGTGTTTTTTTCTCATTACATTTTTGTAGTGGGAATTTAAAAAAAATTGCGATGACGTCATCAACATTTTTGCAAGGACACGTATGTCAGTTGGGATAGATGTAGTGTAATACTAAGAATAAAATTATTATATTCTCAAATTTTCGGGAAAATGAAATGGGTCGTTTTGAATATTGATTTGTAATAATCAATAAAATAACGAAACAATTTACTCACGTATACGGCAACTGAAAATCGTTTATGTATAAACATTCTTAATTTAAGATGACAAGCGTAACAGCATACGCGAGAGTCAAACAGAGAAACTGTAAACAAAACGACCATCGGTTTTATTGCTTCGACTTCCGCTTATTATATAAAACATTGGGTTTTATTTTAATTCTTGACGGTGAAATTCACAATTGGTTGATTATAAACATGTCTATTTCACATTCGCGGAACCAAGTGATCGCATAAAACAAATGCAGGTCTGTAATGTTAAAGTCGATGTAAATAAGCGTGCTACCCTTATGTTTCAACCGAGTTTTTCCTTTAACAAATTTTGTGTCTACCAAATTGGGTTGGTTGGGGTGTAATACTAATAATAAGTGTCGCCTTTAATTTAATCAATAAAATAAATTGACTTCATTAATTTTTTTGAACCACCTCTTAAGAAAATCCAAAAAATATGAATGGAATGATAAATCACAAGTACAAACTCATCATATTTTTTGCATTTTAGATAGGATTTATTCAGCAAAATTTAAGGGTGACGTCATCAATTTTTTTAGGAGGGATGAACAAATACATTTTGAACAAAAGTTTACCATGCTTATAATAACTTTAAAATATTCCCAAGATTTCAAAGCATTCGGTTTTGTAATTCCTAATTAAATCGATAAAATAAATTCACGCCTTCATTAATTTTTTTGAGTCACCCTGCATATGCAAATCCAAAAATATGAATGGAATGATAAATCACAAGTACAGACTCATCATATTTTGTACATTTTAGATACGATTTATTCGGCAAACTTTTGAGCTGACGTCATCAGTTTTTTGTAGAAGATAACCAAATATATTTTGACTAAAAATTTATTATGCTCTTTATAACCTTAAAACATCTGCAATATTTCAAAGCATTCGGTTTTGTAGTTCCTGATTAAATCAATAAAATAAATTTACGCATTCATTAATTTTTTTGAGTCACCCTGTATATGCAAATCGAAAAAATTTGAATGGAATGATAAATCACAAGAAGAGACTCACCATATTTTGTACATTTTAGATAGGATTTATTCAGCAAAATTTTGTGGTGACGTCATAAATTTTTTAGGGGGGACGACCAAATACGTTTTGATCAAAAATTTACCATGCTTATGATAATTTTAAAATATCTTCAAGATTTCGAAGCATTCGGTTTTGTAGTTCCTGAGTAAATCAGTAAAATAAATTTACGCTTTAATTTATTTTCTTGAATCACCCTGTATATGCAAATCCAAAAAATATGAATGGAGTGATAAATGACAAGTACAGACTCATCATATTTTGTACATTTTAGATATGATTTATTCGGCAAACTTTCGAACTGACGTCATCAAGTTTTTGGAGGGGATAAGCAAATATATTTTGACTAAACATTTATTATGCTCTTTATGACCTTAAAACATCTGCAAGATTTCAGAGCATTCGGTTTTGTAGTTCCTGATTAAATCAATAAAATATATTTACGCATTCATTAATTTTTTTGAGTCACCCTGTATATGCAAATCCAAAAAATATGAATGGAGTGATAGATCACAAGTACAGACTCATCATATTTTGTAGATTTTAGATATGATTTATTCCACAAACTTTTGAGCTGACGTCATCAAGTTTTTGGAGGGGATAAGCAAATATTTTTTGACTAAAGATTTATGATGCTCTTTATAGCCTTAAAACATCTGCAACATTTCAAAGCATTCTGGTTAGCAGATTAAAAATAAATTTCAAAATGTTGTTTTATAATTTTGATTTTTTTTCCAAAAATCTGGACGTTTCGGGTGAAAAGTCGATTCAGAGTTGTAAACTACATGTGTAGGACTATGTTATTTTATACAATTTAAAACCCATTTACTATGTACAATTTTGAAGTGACGTCATCGCATTAGTGGTGGGGATGATTAGACAAATTTTGGTTAGCGTTTTACCATCTACATGATATTCTTAATATAAGTACAAAATTTCACAACAATCGGTCGAGTACTTTCGGAGATTATCTGTCTAATAAAAATCCGGGACAACAGACGGACAGACGGACGGACAGACGGACAGACAGACGGAAATGGGAGACCTATTTCTTCGTCTTCTAGGGGTCATGAAAGATCGAGAAAACGTAAAAGTAGAGAGTCGGCCGACGGACTCGATTACAATACTTCCTTTGCTTACGCTCGGGAAGTAAAAATTAAAAACTTGAGAAACCTAAAAATCGAAAAGTGGAAAAATCTTAAAAATCGAATGACCGAAATGTCAAGAAATCGAAATATTAAAAAAATCGTAAAACTGAAAAATTAGAAAATCCAATAATTGAAAAATCAAAAAATCGAAAAATCAAATATTTAAAAATTGTAAAATAGAAATATCGAAGAGTCGAGAAATCGAAAAGTTGAAAAACTGAGAATCTGAAATAGGTCAAAATCGAAAGGTTCAAAACTGAAAAATTTTAAAATAAAAAAACTGATTAATCGAAAAATTCAAAAATCGAAAGATTGAAAAATCAAAATCAACAATTTTAAAAATCGGAAAATCTAAAACCGAGAAGTCGAGAAGTGGAAAAATCGAGAAATCGAAACACCAAAAAAAACTGAAAAATCGAAAATTTAAAAACTTGAAAAATTGAAAAATCGAATAACTGAAAAAATCGAAATATCAAGAAACCGAAAAATGTAAAATTTTAAAAACTAAATTACGAGAAATTGAAAAATCGAGAAATCGAGAAAAGGGAAAATCAAAAAGTCAATTGAGATATTGAAAAATCGAAGAACTGAAAAATCAAAATATTGAAAAATCGAAAAACTTAAAATATTGAACATAGAAAAACTAAATATCGGGAAATTGAAAAATCGAAGAAGTGAAAAATGGAAAAATCGAGAGAACGGAAAATAAAAATTGAAAAATTAAAATATCGAAAAATTGAGGAATCGAAAGATTGAAAAATCGAGAAAACGAAACATCAAAAAATCGAAATTTGAAAAAATGATATGTTCAGAAATGGAAAAATTGAAACATTATAAAAACAGACGGACAGACGGACAGACAGACGGAAATGGGAGACCTATTTCTTCGTCTTCTAGGGGTCATGAAAGATCGAGAAAACGTAAAAGTAGAGAGTCGGCCGACGGACTCGATTACAATACTTCCTTTGCTTACGCTCGGGAAGTAAAAATTGGTTTATTTTGACAAATCCCGCTTGTAATTATACACCTACCTCTTCCTTTGGTAGTTGATCTTTGTATTCTTCCATCTTCGTTTCCGTATCGTGCACGATTCCTTCAGCCTGATTAATCGCTTCCACTCTTTCTTTTTTAATTTTATCCTCTTTGGCGTACTCTTCGGCTTTGCGGACCATATTTTCGATTTCGTCTTTGCTCAAACCGCCCGACGACTGAATAACGACTGCAATTAAAAATCTTAGTTAGTCAAAAAAAAGCTCGAAATCGACCCTAAACGACTTACTTTGTTGCTCCTTTCCTGTCCCCTTATCCCTAGCCGACACGTGTACGATCCCATTGGCGTCAATATCGAAGGTGACCTCCACCTGGGGCACCCCTCGTGGCGCCGGCGGGATCCCAATCAACGAAAACTGCCCCAACAACTTATTATCGGCGGCCATCTCGCGCTCCCCTTGGTGCACCTTAATCTCCACCTGAGTCTGTCCATCAGCCGCCGTCGAAAACACCTGACTTTTCTTCGTCGGGATCGTCGTATTCCTCGAAATCAACCTGGTGAAGACGCCACCCAGCGTCTCGATACCCAGTGAAAGCGGCGTCACGTCCAGGAGGAGCACGTCGGTGACGTCTCCCGCCAAAACGCCGCCTTGGACGGCCGCTCCGACGGCTACGGCTTCGTCGGGATTGACGGCGCGGCTCGGTTGTTTCCCGAAGATGTCCTGCACGGTCGACTGGACTCTGGGCATTCGCGTCATTCCTCCGACTAGCAAGACTTCGCCGATGTCGGACTTGGCGACTTCGGCGTCTTTCAGGGCTTTCTGGCACGGCTGGACTGTGCGTTTGATCAGGTCGCCGACGAGGCCCTCGAATTTCGAACGGGAGAGTTTGAGATTCATGTGTTTAGGGCCGGAGGCGTCCATGGTGAGGTATGGTAGATTTACGTCGGTTTGGAGCGACGAGGAGAGCTCGATTTTGGCCTTCTCGGATGCTTCTTTGAGGCGCTGCATGGCCATGGCGTCTTTGGTGACGTCGATGCCTTGTTCTTTCTTGAACTCGGCGACCAAGTGGTTGACGAGGACGTTGTCGAAGTCTTCGCCGCCGAGGAAGGTGTCGCCGTTGGTGGATTTTACTTCGAAGACGCCTTTCTGGATTTCCAGGATGGAGATGTCGAAGGTTCCGCCACCCAAGTCGTAGACGGCGATTCTGAATTATTTGTAATTAGTTTTGATGCAGTTTTTGCGAAAAAAGATAATTAATTATACACCCCAACAAATTCTGCTTTTTTGAAAAATTACAAAATTTGATTTTTTAATTTTTGTTTATGACCTCTATAAAGTATTTTCAACTTTTTACTTTCCGATTTTCAATTTTTTCAATCTTCAGATTTTAGATTTTTCAATTATTTTACTTTTCGACTTTTTGATTCCTCGAGTTTTCGATTTTCAAATTTTCAACATCAAAATTGAAACATCTAGAAATCGAAAAATCGCGAAATCAAAATGGATCGAAATCGAAAAATCAAACTCTCGATAAATCGAGAAATTGAAAAATTAATAAAACTGATAAATTGAAACATTCGAAAACTGAAAAATTGAAAAATCGAAAAAGTCAAAAATTAAAAATACGAGAAATCGAAAAATTTAAAATTTCAGAATTCAAAGACTTAAAATACCAAAAAATTGAACGGAAAAAACTTAAAAATCCCAAGATTCAAATATCCAAAAATTGAAAAACCGAGGAAAAATTGAAGAGTCGAAAACTGAGATGTCGAAAAATTGAAAAATCGAAAAACTGAAGAACGAAAAAATTTAAAAATACAAAAAATCGAAGAATCAAATATATTGTCGAAAAAACGAAAATCGAGATATCGGAAAACTGAAAATTGAAAAATCAAAAATTCGAAAAACGAAAAATAGAAGTCGAAAGATATAAAAATAGGAAAATAGAGAAATTGAAATTAAAAAAAATCGAATATCAAAAATTCCAAAAATAAAAATTTGAAAAATCGAAAAACCGAGAAATTGAAAATCGAAACATCGAATTTTCTACAAATATTTGAATTTTCCATTTGTTTCCTTTTCGATTTCTCAATTTTTCAATTCCTTGATTTTTCAAATTTTCGACTTTTTTTAAATTTTTTCATTCTTAAGTTTTTAGACTTTTCAATTTTTTTACTTTTCGATTTTCAATTTGTCCATTATTCAGTTTTTCAATTTTCAACATCGAGAAATCGAAAAATCAAAAGATCAAGAAATCGAAAAGTCGAGAAGTCAAAAAATGGAAAATTGATAAACCTAAAAAACGAGGAATTGAAATCGCGAAATCAAAATGGCTCGAAATCGAAAAATCGAACTCTCGATAAATCGAGAAATTGAAAAATTAATAAAACTGATAAATCGAAACATTTGAAAACTGAAAAATTGAAAATTCGAAACAGTCTAAAATTAAAAATACGAGAAATCGAAAAATTTAAAATGTAAGAATTCAAAGACTTAAAATACCAACAAATAGAACGGAAAAAACTTAAAGATTCAGATATCCAAAAATTGAAAAACCGAGGAAAAATTGAAGACTCGAAAAACTGAGATGTCGAAAAATTGAAAAATCGAAAAACTGAAAAACGAAAAAATTGAAAAATACAAAAAATCGAAGTATCAAATATACTGTCGAAAAAGCGAAAATCGAGATATCGGAAAACCGAAAATTCGAAAATGGAAAATCAAAAATTCGAAAAACGAAAAATAGAAGTCGAAAGATATAAAAATAGGAAAATAGAGAAATTGAAATTAAAAAAAATCGAATATCAAAAATTCCAAAAATAAAAATTTGAAAAATCGAAAAACCGAGAAATTGAAAATCGAAACATCGAATTTTCTACAAATATTTGAATTTTCCATTTGTTTCCTTTTCGATTTCTCAATTTTTCAATTCCTTGATTTTTCAAATTTTCGACTTTTTTTAAATTTTTTCATTCTTAAGTTTTTAGACTTTTCAATTTTTTTACTTTTCGATTTTCAATTTGTCCATTATTCAGTTTTTCGATTTTCGATACTTGAATTTTCAACATCGAGAAATCGAAAAATCAAAAGATCAAGAAATCGAAAAGTCGAGAAGTCAAAAAATGGAAAATTGATAAACCTAAAAATCGAGGAATTGAAATGGTCCAAAATCGAAAATTCAAAAAATTAAAAACTGAAAAATTGAAGAACGTAAAATTTAAAAAACGAAAATTGGAAAATAAAAAATCTAAAAAAATAAAGAAAAATCGAAAAATCTAAGATGAAATCGAAAAATTGAGAAATCCCAAGATACCAAATATCGACAAATTGAAAAATAGAAAAATATAAAAATCGAGAATCCGAATGGACCAAAATCGAAAAATCGATAAGTGAAACATCGAAAAATTTTAAAACTGAAAAATCAAAAAACGAGAAATCGAAAAAGGTAAGACTTAAATTAAAAAATTAAAACATCAAAAAACTGAAAAACTGAAATTCTGAAAATCGAAAAATCGAGGAATGGTAAAATCAAAATTTCTAAAAATCGAAGAATCTAAAAGTCGAGGAGCCGAAAAATCGGGAAATCGAATAGTCGAAAAAATCGAAAATTTAAAAACGCCAAGAATTGAAATATTGAAAAATGAAAAAAATTATAACTCGAAAGAATTGAAAAATCGTAAAATTGAAATAGAGAAATTGAAAAATAAAAAAATCGAGAACTTGCAGATGGAAAAATTCTAAAAATGAAATACCGAAAAATTTCAAAATCAAAACTTAAAAAATCGAGAAACGAAACTGAAAATTTAAAAAATTGGGAAAACGAAAAATTCTGATTTTTTTCAAACATTTCGAAGTCTATGATAAAAATTCAAAACGGATTCATGTTCAGTTCTTCGATTTTCCTAATTTTCCATTCAGTTTTTCGAATTTTCAATTATTTTAAAAACCGGGAAATCGAAATGGTCCAAAATCGAAAATTGAAAAATTTGAATTATAAAAAAACCGAAAATTTGAAAAATCGAAACTTCGATAAATCGAGAAGCCGAAAAATTAATAAAACTGATAAATCGAAAAAATTTAATAGACGAAAAATTAAAAAATTAAAAACAGGAGAAATAGAAAATTCTAAGAATTTAAGAAATCAAAGAAATGAAGAATCGAAAAATTAAAAAATTGGAGAGTCGAATAACTGAGATATCAAAAAATTGAAAAATCGGGAAATCGAAAACTCGAAAAATTGAAAAATCAAAAACCTGAAAAATCGAAAAATTGGAGAATTGAAAATCTAAAAACTTGAAAAACCGAAAATACGAAAAACGAATAATCGAAAAGCAAAGTATTTGAAACATCGAGAAACTGAAGAATGGAAAAACTGAAAAATTGAAAAAAAAAATCAAAAATCATAAATCCGAAAAACGAAATATCGTAAAATCGAAAGTCAAAAAAGCAAAACGGTAAAATCGCAAATTCTAAAATCGAAAAATCGAAGTCGAAAAATGGAAAAATAAAAAAATCCAGAGATCGACACACCGAAAAATTAAAAAGAATCCAGAAATCTAGAAATTTTAAACATTAAACATCCAACAAGTCCAGACTCCAAACATGGAAAATTAGAAAAAAAGAAAAAATTCACGTATAAAAAATTAAAAAATCGTAAAACCAAAAAATGTAAAATTAAAAAAAAAACATGAAAAATTGAAAAATGGAAAAATCTCAAAACTGAAATTCAGAAAAATTGGAAAATCGAAAAATTGAAAATCAAAACAATGAAAAAAACCGATAGCCGAAGTTAAAAAAATCGAAAATCGAAACATTGAATTTTCCAGATTCGAATTTTCAATTTGTTTCCTTTTCGATTTCTCGATTTTCAATATTTCACTTCTTCGATATTTCAAATTTTCGATTTTTGATTTTTTGAATTTCCGATTTTTCAAATTTTCCACCCTTCAGTTTTTAGACTTTCCAATTTGTTACTTTTCCATTTTCAATTTTTCCATTCCTCCGTTTTTCGATTTTTCAATTATTTTTATTTATTGATTTTTCGATTTCTCGAGTTTTCAATACTCGAAATTGAAACATCGAGAAATCGAAAAATCAAAAAATCAAGAAATTGAAAAGTCGAGGAGACAAAAAATGGGAAATTGATAAATGTAAAAATGAGAAATCGAAAAGCCCAAAAATCGAAAAACCGAGAAATTGAAAATCGAAACATCGAATTTTCTACAAATATTTGAATTTTCAATTTGTTTCCTTGGGTGGTTTTGTAAACCTAAAAATCGAGGAATTGAAATGGTCCAAAATCGAAAAATCAAAAAAATAAAAACTGAAAAATTGAAAAACGTAAAATTTAAAAAACGAAAACTTGGAAAATAAAAAATCTAAAAAAATTAAGAAAAATCGAAAAATCTAAGATGAAATCGAAAAATCTAAGAAGAAATCAAGAAGTTAAAAAATCAAAAATCTGAAAAATCGAACAATTGAGAAATCCCAAGATACCAAATACGTATCGACAAATTGAAAAATAGAAAAATCGAGAATCGGAATGGACCAAAATCGAAAAATCGATAAAATTGAAAAATCGAAAATTTTAAAACTGAAAATTCAAGAAACTGGAAATCGAAAAGGGTAAGATTTAAGGAATTAAAAACTTAAAACATCAAAAAACTGAAGAACTGAGCCGAAAAATCGAATAGTTGAAAAAATCGAAACTTCAAAAACGCCAAAAATTGAAATATTGAAAAATGAAAAAAATTATAACTCGAAAGAATTGAAAAATCGTAAAATTGAAATATCAGCAAATAGGGAAATTGAAAAATAAAAAAAATTGAGAAATTGAAATTCTAAAATTGAAAAATGTACCGAAAAATTTCAAAATCAAAACTTAAAAAATCGAGAAACGAAACTGAAAATTTAAAAAATTGGGAAAACGAAAAATTCTGATTTTTTTCAAACATTTCGAAGTCTATGATAAAAATTCAAAACGGATTCTTGTTCAGTTCTTCGATTTTCCTAATTTTCCATTCAGTTTTTCGAATTTTCAATTATTTTAAAAACCGGGAAATTGAAATGGTCCAAAATCGAAAATTGAAAAATTTGAATTACAAAAAAACCGAAAATTTGAAAAATCGAAACCTGGATAAATAGAGAAGCCGAAAAATTAACAAAACTGATAAATCTAAAAAATTTAATAGACGAAAAATTAAA